CTCTTGATCTGCTGGCATTGTGGTCCTTCATTAGTACTTCCTTTAATGTATGTTGATATTAAGAGTAAAATATTTTAATAAAATATTAAACAAATTGATATGATAGTTGATGCTATCTACTCAGTATTTCGCCAACCATACAAAGTATAACAGCATACATACAAAGGAAAAAACACATAGAAAGTATAATACATTTGCATATATCAGTCTCCATATTGACAAGTATGGTTTATGAAATTTTGGTGACTGATATTGAGTACAATTACACATAGTTTAATTTTTACTTCCTTAATATGACTAATTACATATTAAACATGTGTTCTATAGGAATTCTAAGGTATTTTAATTGCCTAATTCATATAGGTTATTGAGTAACTTGAGTAAATTTCTGATTGCTTCAGACCTCAGAAATGATGGTTGCATTGACATAGGATATAGGTATATATTTTCACTGTTTTTCTTTCATTAAAAATTTGTCTTAGGGCCGAGGATTTAGCTCAGTGGTGCCGCGTCTGCCTCGTTTGATCCTGGGGGGTGGGGGGGTCTGTCTTAGTGGACACTCCTTTAGAAATTGGAATAATTTTGAGTTTCTTGAAGAGCCTTAAGAGATACATGCTCAAAATTAGGAACCTAGATAAACAAATTTAAAATATTTACTATATTTGTTTCGGCAGATATTCATTTCCTATTTCTATTAATATACAATTGATGTATTAATATCCTCATGAACAACAAAAAGGTGAAATTGGGCCGGGGATTTAACTCAGTGGTTCCAGCGCCTGTCTTGAAAGTACAAGGTCCCAAGTTCAATCCCCAGTACCAAAAAAAAAAAGGTGATATATAATGAAATGCCTCTGCAAATTTAGTAAATTGCTATTCTTATAACTTTTTCTGAAGAACTATACTGAGAAATACTGCATCTATAGTTGCTGATTTGTATAGTGGGAACTTGGCTGGATATAATCATTATTTGACAAATGCCATATGACCTTCTGTTTGGGGAATATCAAATCCCTCAAATTGGAAATGTTCATGACTATCCCTGGGATAAATCCAGCTGCTTTTGTTTGGGGTCCAAAGACAAGTATAAAGAGAAAAAATGTAGCTGCCAAAAGAATATAACCAAACCACTTTAACAGTCAGCTGGATGAGGACTGGTCAGGCCTTTATAGCACCGGACAGAGGGCAACCATCTGAGTTGCAACACTGAAGAAACTCCAAGACATTTGGATTTTTTAAGCCTCATGCTGGATAGAATCTAAGGGATATTTTTATATTTGGTTCATGTGTGATTTGAAATTAGAAAAACACCTGTAAATTCCTACTGAATTTATAAATTAGTATTGGGCTGTCACCATTACCCAGGTATTTTCAAATGCAAAGTTTCTTTACTCACTAGCCTGGAAGCTCCTTAACAGGGCCTCCTTGTATATTATTCGTCTTTATGTCATATCACCAAGAGCCTAGTATATAACAAATACTCGCTGAGTTGAATTGATCTTGGCTGAGTAAAAGTGAGTCAGTACGTAAGAATGGCTAGACTGAAGGTTGATATAACACAAATTTAATTTTGAAACTTAATGAACACACTGCCTGAGAAAAAACAGGTTTTCCCTGTATTCCTACTCTCAGGAATATGAGTAAAGTGGCACAGTGGCATAATGCCAAAAGGGGCTGATATATCTGCTAATTTAACCTCTGAATTGGCTTGCATGCATGATCTAATGTTTAGAAACTGAGATGGCTTGCATATGTAGAGTGAAATCCCTGATTAAAATCGATGAGTTGAGGCCACAGACCCAGGGGAAGTGGAGAACATCCATATTTAGTCCACATCACCAAGGCAACATAGTTTACCTCAGCACAGTACAAAAATAAGCACAGATGTTGATAGTGAATCTTCAAAAAGTATTCTGTATACTTGTAAGAGTGGTTAGATACAAGGATAACCAATTTCAGAAACCAGGTAATAAAAAGTTTTAACTTCTCTAATGATTATATATATATGCTTTTTCATTTCACTTCATAAGCAAGCTTGGTCAATTAACATTATCTGAGAATCAGAAATAAAAGTGCAAGCCAGACATGGTGCACCACACCTGTAATCCCAGCATTCTGAGAGGCTGAGGCAGGAGGATCATTTTTTTTTTTCTTTTGCAGTGCCAGGGATCGAACTCAGGACCTTGCACTTGCGAGTGCCACTGAGCTAAATCCCCAGCCCCAGGAGAATCATAAATTTAAGCCCAGTCTGGGCAACTTAGCAAGACCTTGTCTCAAAATTTTAAAATACAGGGCTGATGTAGCTTGTGCAAATGCCCTGAGTTCAATTCCCCAGTACTGCAAAAATAATAGTAATAATAAAAAAATAAATATATAGCCAGGTATTGTTGCACATGCCTGTAATCCCATCACTCTCAGAGACTGAAGCAGGAGGATTACAAATTCAAGTCTAGCCTAAGTAATTTATGAATTTAGCAAGACCTGTCTCAACATAAAATAATAACAACAACAGGGCTGGAGATGTAGCATAGTCCAAAGGCCCTCAGTTCAATTCCCAATACCACAAAAATAAACAAATGTCTAAAGCTTAGTTTTGACATAAATGACACATATATCTTTTTAAGAATATAAAGAGATATAAAGACTCAAATGAGGTGCCTCCTCCCTCGAATGGGGAGACATATGAATTTGTTTTTTGTTTTTTTGGTACTGGGGATCGAACTTGGGTCCTTGCACTTTCGAAGCAGGTGGCAGAACCACTGAGCTAAATCCCTGGCCCTATGAATTTGAAACCAATAAGTCGGCACAAAACAAGTATCTGTTGATCTCTTGAGAGATGATTTCTAAATATATTGCTGATAAACTATCTACCCAGCATGAGTAATAAAGCAGTACGATAAATTGTAGAATATAACTATCATAACCAGAGGAAAAGATTATACATAGAACTTGAAAGATATAGGGAGTAAAATATCAGGGCATCTCTACAGGATAGGAAAGACAAGATTTTGGCAGAGATAAGCATTTTAATTAATGATAAAGCAGGAAAACTTCTCCAAGCCTTACCCCAGCCCAGATGAAATATCACCCCAAGTTATCTACCTTTCTTTCCTCTTATCCATGTTTACCAAGAAACTTTGCTTACTAATTGTTTAGACCTGTTGCTATAAATTAACAAATTTACATTCTAACTGGGCACTCTTCAAGTCTTACCAGGTTTGTCAATGGGGAACTATTACTTAATCCGGGGGCAGGGTCCACATCTATATTCACCTATGTTATACCCTGGGAGGCCCAGCTAGAACAGCCAGCCGGACAATGTCTTTCACTATCCACCCTCACCATTCTCACCAACTTCTAACTGTAACACAGGTCATCACAATCTTATAAATGTCTGTATCCATCTGAAAAATAAAATCACAATTCATATATTGGTAAACAACCAAATAAAGATGGCCGAGACACTACAGTAACAGCAAGGTTATTAAGAAGAAAGGCCTTTATCACTAAGTAAATTCACCACTGCTTTTTTAACTCTCCAGATTACTTTTCTTACTAAAGTAAGTCCATGGCCTTCACAAGAGGAGATATATTCTTTGGGGAATATGATGAGAACCCAAATCTAGAAGTTCAGGCATATTTTATGATGATTTTACTTAACAGAAAGCACTAAAAAAATTCAAACTTAATCTGATCAAGCCTGTCTACAAGGCATATAGGAGCATAAAAACAAACTAAATTGCTTCACAGTGACATAGTCAACAAAATCCAGAATGTGTGTAGAAACTTTACAAGACAAAACAACTAGATTTCTTAAATAATTAAATGATAGGGCTAGAGCTGGAAATGGTGACATATGCCTGTAATTCCAGCACCAGAAGGCTGAGGCAAGAGGACTGCCACGAGTTCAAGGCCAGCCTGAACTACATAGTAGAGGTTCCATAGTGTAATGGTTAGCACTCTGGACTCTGAACTACATAGTGAGATCCTGTCTCAAACACCACCCCCCCAAAAAATAAATAAATAAGGGATAGGGCTGGGGATATAGTTTAGTAGTACAGCATTTACCTAGCACATGCAAGGCCCTGGGTTCTATCCACTGCACCAAAAAACAAACAAAAAAGTGAGATCTAATTCAAAGGATAAATGGAGGAAGAGGGGAGTTTATAAATTATGAGAGATAAATAACGAGATTCAACATACAGGTTTTGTTTGGTGCCTAATTCAAGAAAACCAAGTTAAACTTTCCAGGTATGATCATACTAATATGGATGGATGGATGGATGGATAGATAGATAGATAGATAGATAGATAGATAGACAGACAGACAGACAGACAGACAGATACTTTTTAAAGAGAACTTGCCTTTTAAAGATACATATTAAGGTAGCTACAGATGAAATGACAAGATGGCTGAGAGGTGCTTCAAAGTAACTGCAGAAGGCTCGGGATGTAGCTCAGCAGAGCAGCACCTGCCTGGCAAGCCTGAGGCCCTGAGTTTGATTCCTGGTACCAAACAAAACCAAAGTAACTGGGGGGTGGGGAACAGTAACTGAAGTATAGATGAAAGAAGACCGGCCATAAATTGAAGCTAGGTGATGATAAAGAAAAGTCCATTATACTATTCCCTATACTTCTGTTTGGAACTTTCCATAATGAAAAGTTAAAAAAAAAAACAAGATACACACACGCACACACACACACGCACACACACACACGCACACACACACACACAGCATGTACAAAAGAGGGCATTGCTGAGTGCCCTGGGATAATGGGATAAAATTCCCAGGCTGGCTTTCAGCTTCATTAAATTATTAGACAAATTATCTGGAGTTCCACCATAAATGGACAAGTCCATTTACCAAATTAGCTTGTATCATTAGCCTAAGAAAGGACATTATGTTGCCTGTTTACTTACCAGATACATTTTAATGTCCAAGTTTGCTACCCAATTTTAACTTAAGTTTAAGAAAAAATAATTTTTGAAGCTAACAGGATTTTAGCATCTATAGAATTTATTCAGCATAACCACAGAGGCATTGTCTTCATGCTGTCACACAGAGACACAAACACAGCTATAGCACAATATCCATATTTAGCCCAAGTGCATTCCTTATGAGGCTCATTTATATGTCTTCATATGCCACAGCCCATCATTTAAATAATGGATATTTTCAATGCCAATTCCTTTGTTGACTTTCTCACTGTAGAAAAAGAACACACAAATATATTTTTATAGGTTTACACATGGTAAACATGATTCAAAGTACATTTTTATTTTGTAATTATTGAGTCACTTGTAGGGAATTTATTGCTATCATTTATATTATTGTCTATATTGTTACATTTCTCTGCTTTAGTTCATGGATTTTTGTTTGTTTTTATTTTGAAACAGGGTCTTGCTATGATATAATTCAGGCTGGCCTTAAATTCACTATGTAACACAGGCTTGCCTCGAACTTACGGTGGCAATCTTCCTGCCTCCTGAGTGCTGGGATTACAGGCATGTGCCACCATGCCCAGGCAGTTCATTTTTTTTTTATCCATTAAGTTTATTGGTGCATTTTAGGTATACAGTACATTTACATTCATCATTGGGAATTTGTACCTTTACATGATGTATCTTGGTTCTTATTTTTTGCCCCATTTCCCTGCCCTTCCTTCCACCCCTCCACTCCTACCAATTTAGAAAGACCATGTTTTTGTTTTTTCCCTTTTCTCATATTTTTACCTTTCCCTTCCTTTCCCCTACCCCTCTTTTCCCCATCCCCTTCCCCTTTGCCCCTTTTCTTCCTGTTTCACATTATCTATTATACCTTTTAGTCCTCATTTACACTTCAGTTACTTACACCAGAGAAACTATTCGGTATTTACACGTGTGTCCTATTTATTTTACTTAAGAGTGTCACCTCAATGTGAATTCATTTAGCTATAACTGTCTCTAGTTTCTCATTCTTTAAGGCTGAGTAGTACTCCATTTTATAAAGAAAAAATCCACATATCTTTATCCACTCACCAGTTGATAGGCATTTGGGTTGTTTCCAAGATTTAGCTATTATGAACTGTGCCGCCGCTAAACATGGGTGCACATACATTGCTGTGGTATGATGCTTTTAATTCTTTGGGAAGATACCCAGCAGGGGGATAGCTGGGTCAAATGGGACCTCTAATCCTAGTTTTTTGAGGTATCTCTATACTGATTTCCACAGTGATTGGATATCTCCACAGTCTACACTCCCACCAACAGTGGAGAAGGGTTCCTTTTTCCCCCAAGTTCATGTTTTAAAATGATTTTAACAATAACTACTGGGTTTATACAAGCAGAGTAATGACATTACCAGGTCAGCCAAACATCAAAGTATTACATTATCCCTGAAACAAAATTATAGGTCTCATTTTGGTCATCAAATGGGTTCCAAAGTTTTAAATATATTGCTGATATTTTGGAAATATATACTTAGTAGTTCTCTAATATTCCACATTTCTTATACCACTAGATCAGAATATAAGACAAAGTCTATGTAATGCTGAAATAAAAACTAGCACTTCTTTAAAAACTAACAGCAAACTGTTTTCTCCCTCTATTTAAATTATACTACATAAAAATGCCTAAAGTACCACATACATACGTACAAAACAGCTGTCCTAGCAATGGGTTCTTTTCAGCGTGCTTAGAAACAATGCAATCCTGAAGACAAACTAGGCTTCAATGGCTTCCTAACTGTTGGGAAAAATCAGAAATGAGGCTTGGTGCTTAGATATTTATAAGATATGGTATGAATGACAGCAAATTTCACCTGTCATTCTGATACTTCTTGGACTGCTTACTCATATCTCAAAAGCTAAGAGGACCTAAAGTGAGACTTACATGTCGTTTGCAGACATCTTCATGACTCCAACACATAAAGCATGCTGTTTTCCTTCTGCCATGATTGCCTGAAAACACACAGCTAAGAAAAATATGTATTTCACAAAATGTCTTGGAGGGAGGGGGGTCTAGTAATGATCACATATCTTGTTAGCCACTTTGAACTGATCTGTGTCCTCCCCTAGACCACTGACTCTTTGAGAGCAGGGAGCTACGAGAGTCTGTAGGTACAATGTAAATAATAAATGCTAAATGAATGAGTCTAATCATTTTGATTTCAAGTTTCAATGTTAATACTACAACCCCATCCCAACAAAAACAGAATACATCGTGGGGAAAAAAAGAGGATAAAATTCCTTACACATAAATACTAAAACATGTGAAATAAATATCAATTCTTCATTTAGAGCTACTGGGATCCTAAACATTGCAATATGTATTTTAAAAGGTAAGGATCAAGGGTACACAGGAACTCTCTGTTCTATTTTTGCAATTTCCTGAAAAATCTATAATTATTTCAAAATATAAAAATGATTTTTTTGAAAGAGGGTTTCACTATGTAGTCCAGGTTGTCTTTAAATTGGCTATATATCCCAGGATGGGCTTGAACACATGATCCTCTTGACTCAGCCTCCTGAATGTGTTGTTGATTACAGGTGTGCACCACTATGCCCAGCTAAAAATATATTTTTTATATTTTATATTTTATTTTTATTTTTTAAAAGTTGTCAGGTGTGGTGAGACATACCTTATATAGTCCAAGCTACTCAGAAGGCTGAGGCAAGAGAATGGCTTGAGTCCAGGAGTTCAAGACCACCGTGGGCAACACAGCAAGACCCATCACAAAAAACAAAGTCTAGGTAGTGGGAAAATTTTCCATTTAAGGGAAAGCCCAAAACATCAGTCAACACTTGAAGAAATCATAAACCTAAAAAAGTAACCTGTCCTCACAGAATACTTTTCTCCTTTGGTCTTCAATTCATCCGTTCATTTTCCATAAATATTTGAACACCTATTATGTAACTAGTACTGATGTTAACATCAGCTGTTCCTAAAATGTAAACACACAATTTATCCTACCCCTTAGCTATAACTGCTCCTACAGAAGATGGCCTCCTTTTGAGCACAAGACATGCTCTTAAACCCACTCCACAAGTATTTCTACTCCATAGTGATTTCCCCATCCAAGCAAGTACCATTCCTTTCCTCAACCTGAGCCAAATGACCACTTTGGCTATGACAAAGGAGAACATGGCCTCCTGTCTAGACTAGTGCACAAAACCTATTCAATCCAGAACATATCTGAAATAGCACTGCAGAAATAGAAATAATGCAGAATTATCCAGCTACATAGTGAGTTGAACAGATCCTTACAAATGATTTGGATGGGCCGGGGATCTAGCTGAGTGGTTCTGGTACCTGCCTCGCAAGCACAAGGTCCAGAGTTTGATCCCCGGTACCAAAAAAAAAAAAATGATTTGGATGCTGGGCATGGCGGCATACCCCTGTAATCCCAGCACTCAGGAGGCAGAGGCAGGAGAATCGCATGAGTTTGAGGCCAGCCTGCACTACATAGTGAGTCTGAGGCCAGCCTGAACTACATAGCGAGACACTGTCTCAAAAATACAAAAAACAAACAAAAAAAAAAGATTTGGGTTTAGCTCAGTGGCTCCGGTGCCTGCCTCACAAGCGAAAGGTTCTGAGTTCGATCCCTGATACAAAAAAAAAAAAAAACAAAGGAAAAGATTTGGGCCCAGATGTGATGGTGCACACCTATAATCCCAGTTCCTTGGTAGATCAAGAAAGGAAAATCACAAATTCAAGACCTCACTAGAAACCTTAGCAAGACCTAGCAAAACCTTATCCAAAATGAAAAAAGTAAAAAGGGGAAGGGTGTAGCTTAGTGGTTGAGTGCTCCTGGATTGGGTCTCCAGAATGGCAAAAACAAAACAAAAAAAAAACCTGAGATATTGAGATTTCTCTTTGAGAAAATGTTCTGAGATACCTAAAAAACCACTTTAAGGGACAGGAATGTAGTTAAATAGTAGAGCACTTGCCTAGTATATGTGATGCCCTGGGTTTGATCTCCACTGCCAGGAAAAAGCCTTACAAAATGAATTTTTAGGTCAGGTGCAGTAGTGCATGCCTGTAATCCCAACTACTTAGGAGGCCAATACAGGAGGATCACAACTTCAAGTTCAGCCTGGGTAACTTAGCAAGACCCTATCTCAAAATAAAAATAAAATAGGCCAGGGATTTAGTTCAGTGGTTCCGCTGCCTGCCTCGCAAGCACAACTTCCTGAGTTCGATCCCCAGTAGCAAAAAAATAAAATAAAATATAGACGGAGATATACCTCAGTGATAGAGCACTTGACTAGCATGTGCAAGGCCCTGAGTTAAATCTCCAGCAGTACCACAAAAAATAATAATTTTTAAAATAAAAGTTGGAGATTGCCAATATTTCTCACTCCTGATATAAAACTGTGGCTTGGGAACAGAAAAATTATACCTGCTGCCTAAATTCTTTTCCCTTTTGAGAGTTTCTATTCCACTGTATCTGAATGAATCAAATTAAAGTGGCAAGTTGTTGTCCAAAAATCTGAGCCAACCATATCACCTGTAGTCCTTCTATTAGTAATCAAGAATTTCAGATGGTGTCCCAAGGCTGATAACAGGCCTTAACTGGGCTGCAATGCAGCTGGAACTCTTTATAACTTTAATTTCTTTCTTTTCTCTTTTTTTCAGTATCAGGGATTGAACTCAGTGTTTTGTGCATACTAGGCAAGTGCTCGACCATTGAGCTACATCTCTAGCGCTTTTTATTTTATTTTGAGACACAGTCTTATCAAATTGCTCATGCTGGCCTTGAATTTGCCATCCTCCTTCCTCCAACTCCAGAGTGGCTGGAATTACAAGATATGCACCACCATGCCCATTTTATAACCTGTTTTCATTTAAAATCCTATGAAACTACCAAAATGAAACAATTTAGTATCAATAGATGAAAAAGTTACTTTCCATTATTTCAGATGTAATCAGGAAGGCATGAAGTACATCTAATATTCTCTTGGATCTTCCAGTAATGACAAGAATACAATGAATACATTTTTCAGCAGTTAGAGTTTGGAAAGGATACAACAATAGTATCTACTGCAGCAGGATAAAGCTTAGCTCCTGGAGAAGTTAAACCAGGACACATAATATTTGCTCCACTGAGTACAAATTTGATGGCTCCTTTATCAACCTGCTGGTGTGGCAGGATAAAAGGATCTAGAAGAGAAAGAATAAATTACATATATTAACAAGACTTGAGACTCAACAAAAAAGCCAAAGGACATGATCAAATTACAGTACTTTCCGACAGATGCAAAATAAAACTAAAACACTAACCTTCACTCATCAAACTGGTAAATATTTTAAGAAAAGTAATACCCAGTGCTAGCATGACTAGGAACATTGGCATCCTCATATACTGCTATAAGATGTATAAAACAAGTATGTCTACAAAAAAAGTCATGCAAGTCTATAAAAAAATTCTTCTGGAGAATACATAATTCTCTGGGAAATGTTCATGAGATAATGTTTAGTGAACAAAACAGAATAAAAAACCTATCAAAAAGATTAATGGTTAGAGTTTGGGGAAAGACAAGGATAAATAGGTAGAGCCCATCTACAGCAATAAAATTATGCTGAACGATATTCTACCAGTGGACACAACACTATGTGTCTGGCAAAACCCACAGAACTATACAACAGGAAGAGTGAACCCTAATGTAAAATATGGACTTTCATTAATAATAGGGCCAGGGATTTGGCTCAGTGGTTCCTCCGCCTGCCTCACAAGCGCAAGGTCCCAAGTTCGATCCCTGGTACCAAAATAAATAAATCAATAAAATAATAATAATAATGCATTAGTATTGGTTTATCATTTATAACAACTGTATCCTACCAGTGCAAGATATTAGTAATAGGATGAACTCTGAAACAGAGAGCCCAATTTAAAAAGGAGAAAGGGGGCTAGGAGTCTTGCTCAAAAGTAGAGTGTATACTTAGCATACAGAAGGCCCTGGACTCAATCCCTAACACCCCCTCACCCCCCAAAAAAAGAAAGGCTAGGTGTGGTGATGTATACCTCTATTCCCAGCACTTTGAGAGGCTGAGGCAAAAGGACTGCAAGTTCAAATCCCACCCAGGCAACTAAACGAGACCCTGTTTCAAAATAAAAATATCTGGGGATGTAGCTCAGTATGAAGCCCTTGGATTCAGGCCCAACCCCGGGGGGGAATTTATATACATCACAGGAAATATTTGAATGTAAGTACATCAATACACTGACAATACCTAACTAATACTTACTAATTAGCTATATATTTGTGTTTTCAAAATGTATGTGCATTTTTTTTTTGAGATAGGGTCTTGCTCTATAGCCCAAGCTGGCCTAGAACTTGTGGAGATCCTCCTGCCTCAGCCTCCCAAGTCCTGGGATTACAGGTGTGTGCTATCACACTCAGCTCCTTTTGTAATCTTTTTAAAATGCATGCCTGTATCAATAATAATTTATAATTTAACAATTAAAGAATCTCTGAAGGATTTCAAACAAGGTCTAGGGGAAAAAGTTTTTAAGCTTTTCAAAGATCTCTAAAAATAATGACAATAACAGGTAAAATATTTATTTTAATGCCTTACCACTAGTCCTCTTACTAGTAGGAAGATAAATCAAAAGATAACAAATTAATTCAAACAGCCTCAAATTAATTTAAACATTTCACTGAAAAAAGGAACCTGAATTAATGCATCTACTACTCATAGGGCATAATTTGTTTCTAGGTCTTCATCCTCATTAGTATCTGCCTCTTGATGATGATGATCATAATCATAATAAGTAGCAGTGAACATTTATTGAATAATTATTACACCATTATAAAGGCTGTCATACACTGAACACTTACTATGGTCCAGGCATTGTGGTAGGTACATTACGTGCACTATATCATTTCATCCTCACAACCCCAGAGAGAAACACAATTATAGTGTTCATATTTTAATTAGCAATAATCATGCCTCGGATAAACCTCATTGGCTACGATACTGCCACTGTGCAAAGCTAGTGTTCATATTTTAAAGATAAAAAAGCAAAGTTTAAAGAGGTTAAGTAACTTGCCAAAAATGACATGTACTAAGAATTGAATCAAAGGGCCAGAGGTTTGGCTCAGTGGCACCGTGTCTGCCTGGCAAGTGCAAGGTCCTGAGTTTGATTCCTGGGACCAGAAAAAAAAATACAGAATTGAATCTAGGTCTGCCTAAACCCAAATTCATGTTTTAAACCACCACATTATCCTGCTTTTTGCATTATAATTAACTAAGATCTTCTAAAGGGTTGATCCCTGGCAAAATATTATTAAATAGGAAAATCCTTTTCCCCAAATTTATTATGACAATGCTCAACTTATAGAAAAACTGGAAGAATAGTTCATTGAATACCCAGACATATCTACTTAAATTTAATAACTGATTATTAACCCTTTGCCCCCACCCCCCATTTGTTCAGGCAATGTGTCACTGTGTAGCCCAGGCTAGCACCAAACTCAAAATTCTCCTGTGTCAATCTCTTTCTATTTATACACATACATTTTTCTTCTGGCATTTTAAAGAAAGTTCAGACATAATGCTTCACCATAAATAACCAAATTTCTCCTAAGAGTAAAGCCATTCTCCTAAAACCACAATATCATCACGCCTAAAAACCTAACACAATCCCTACAAGAACATTTTATGGCCAAAACATATTCAAATTTCCTCAATAGTCCTAAGAAAGTTTTTCATAAAAATTTTTTCCCATTGTATCAGGATTCAATTTCTCTCCATCAGTATTTTTAACCTGATAAAAATCAACATTTAATCAAATACATGTAATTATTCCTTTGTGAAAAATAAAATGTTTCACCTCTTCAAAGACTTGCCTTACAGGTTTACTGTTCCTGACCACCAGGCAATTCAAAATTTATCTCCTGTTTGCAAAAAGCCAAATTCATTCAGTCACCACTACCATGGCCACCACAAACAGAGCCTGTCAGACACTCCCTTTCTTTCTGTCTCTTGGCTAGAATACAGACTGAAAAGCAGAAATTTTACTTCCCATTTGAAAACTTGTGCACTGTAATTGCAGCTTCCTTGGGATTTTCTTTTGTAGTATACTCAATCTAATAACCTGCAAATGTGGGTATGAAATAAACATTATTTGTTTTGATAACATCTGACCATGGCATTCAACTAGTGATAAAGTGAGACTCCCACATTTGGCCAATGCTTTCCCATATATGGAATTATCTCCACTGGGCAAATCTAGATACAAATTTAAATGACGAAAATGTGCACAGCCCTTATCACAGTTTATAAATACATGTTTGTATAATTATCTAATTCTTGTCTAGTCTCCCAACTAGACTAGTAGCTTCATAAGGACAGGGAGCATGTCTGTCTTTGCTTCCAATTGTATTCTCAGTTCCTAGCTTGGTGCCTGGCACATAGCAAGTCCAGTAAATATTTGTTGAATGGAATGAATGTTTTTTCTTCGGTTTTCTGCAATGCATAACAAGAGCATTTGCATTTTTTAAACTTACCATAAAATGGGCATTGACTAATATTTCTTATTACCCAATACTAATAAATGTCAAATTAGCTGTCAGAAGTCACTTTCAATTTCATCTTTCTATACTCTCAAATGCAAATTTCTAATAAGACTTACATTTGTGAAGTAACCTTAGAGTTGGATAAAAAGGCCCTTCTCTTTGTCTAAAAAATAGTAATTCTCCATTTACCGTAAGGATTTCTATATGTTCATGGCTGTAAGACAAATTTCACAAAGTACCAAGTTAGAAATTCTCTTTCAAAAATAAATGTAAGTGAAACATCCTTGAAAATTTACAACATGAAACATGTACAGAGTAATATACAGAGATAGAGTAATTTTTTTAAAATTTCAGTAAAGATCCTGGCCAAAAACACTGTTTACTTTGTTTTTCCTACATATCAACCAAGTAAACAAAAAGGAAAAATATGACCTGCTACAACCAATTTTATTTCACATTTTATCACTTTAATTCCGTTACTAGTTAATTCAGTATATTTAAACTGAAATAAATACAACTTTAAATGAAAATATTTATCTCCAGAAGAAAGAAAAAAAAGAAAACATCTAACTTTTTCATAAAATAATCAATACACAAAGCCACATTTTTCATGGATATAAAAATATTTGAAAATGCAAATATTGGTAAATTTTAGAGTTATTCTGTGTCTATCCTCATCATTAATCTACCAATAGTTAATTTTTTTTCTTTTTGGTACCCGGGATCGAACTCAGGTCCTTGCGCTTGCAGGGCAGGCAGTGGAACCACTGAGCTAAATCCCCGGCCCTCTACCAATAGTTAATGCGAAAATAATTCTACATATATGAAATGAGTACAACCTTACCATTTACTATTCAGCTACTCTAGGCTCTATATAGAAAAAAAAAACAAAGACTTACCATCGGACTATTTTGACAGGATCTTTCTTAGGCATGATTTGATTAAGCCATGGTTCAATACCTGGAAATTGCTCTATCAACTGATTCTTAATACCCTTAATAACTGAGGTTTTCAACTGGATGCAGTTGGACACATTTTCTTTTTCATCAAATCTGCCAAGTGATTTTTGCAAGAAAAAAAAAGGCATTGCTAAACAGAAGTATCAGACTACCTAAAAGATAATGTTCTGATTAATCATCTATTCCCAAGAAAGTACTTAGATGGTTAATTATAAAATAAATGTTTTTTAAAAGTACCATTTCCCTTTTATTCTGTTTAGTACAGAACCAACGTTTTAATACAATTATTAAAATAAAATCCCAGAACCACGAAAACAAAAAACTGTCATTCATAAAGGCCATCAGCCGGGGAAGGATGAGATATAGTTTGCACTATTATCTGTAATCAATCAGAAAATGCCTTTCCTGGAAAATCTTACTCAAAGAAACATAGACTCCCACCAATAATATAACCTGTTTAAAAAAAAAAACAAAAAAAAAAACTTCAAGCATTAAGACTGAAAAGACCAACCCAAGCACAACACAAAAAATTATCCCGCTAGGCTATGTAATCTCCAGAGATTGTTTTAAAATGTGGTGGTGATGATGATGATGATGACTTCTAAGATCCCTATTTTTCTCGAAATTTCATGCACAAAACCCACCTTCCTTTGCCCATGTTCCCCCTTTGCTTTTTGCGTCTACCAAAACTGGAGGGCAAACTCACTACGTAGGATCCCAAGGAATTTTGTCTTCCTTACACTGAATAACCTACGGGGTAATCACGTTATTTTCAAGACAAAGTTAACCTGGCAGCTAGACAATAGGCATGACAGGCCGCTTGCTTCCTGTCACCCAGACTCCTTCACTCCCATGACCCAGGAAGTCAAGCCTTCCCTTATTCAGTTCATAACTAATAAACATATGGCAGCGAGTGCAGGGCTCCCCTCTCACCTCAAGAGGATATGCCCCTAAATCACAGTACAAGGATGTGATTGGTAGAACCCTAGGAGTGGAGACAGAATTGCGGGAGGGGGCAAAAGAAAAGGGAGGTAAGGAGAAGGAAAATGGGAGTAAAGGGACCAAAATCCGATCGAGGATTAGGGATAGAAAGCTTAAAGAAGTGTTGCAAGTTGCGAGTGACAGCATAGTACTATAGGAAACCTTAGGGAGTCAGGATGGCAGGGGCGGGGGAGAGAGAAAGAGGATCGTTGCTCTCACCCTCTTCCCCACCCTCATCCCCACCGCCTTTGTGAGCAGCCGATGGAGGCCACCGCATGTCCTTACTTCTTGAACATGATCCAAGGTGAAGGGGGCGACGATAGGGAAGGGCCCGGAATGGGAAAGAAATTGAATTAGCAAAGGTCCGGCAGATCCCCTTACACAAGGAAGGCCGGCACTGACAGTCAGAGCTGTTGTCGTTATCCGGAAGGTAAGAATCCAGCCGCGCTTTATGGCTCTCTGTAAACTCTGACTACTTCCGCTCCTCTGAACTCCACGTAGGCGCTTTTGCCGGTTCCTTTTAGGTAACTGATTCCTCTCCATTGGGGGCAGCCTGAAGGGCGGGACTTGAGAAGGAAGAAGTGATAGAGCAATTCTTTCTAGTTGCAGGAAGAGAAGAATGGAGGAGGCGGGGAATCAATCAAAGAAGCGTTTTTGACAGTTACGTCAGTTATGGGTTCTTCAAAGGCTCAAAATTATTCCGTGCTTAATTGCTACTTACTGTTAACCTAAATAATTTTGGGGTGAGAATGTTTTTTGTTTCCTGTCTGAGGCAACCGAATAAATTAAGTGCTTACTGACCAGCATGAACCCAGGCAAGCCTCATAGCTTCATGTTAGTGTACTGGTAGGCTTTTCATGTTTAGCAAGTGAAAAATAGAAGATGCCAGTAAAAGTTTAATTTCAGATAAACAGTGAATACGTTTTTAATGTAAATATGCTTTGTCGATATTTTACACATACTTACACCAAAAATATATAGTCGATATCTGAATTTAATTGAGTATCCTCTTTTTTATCTGGTAACCCTATTCACTGACCACACTAAGGCGCCCCCATAGAATTACTAAATAAAAATCACTAGTTGCAATCCCCTTCCTCACCTTGGTACTTACAAGTTGACCTATAAATCAGGAGAGGTAATTTCCTTAAAGGATAAAGTGGCTTCAACCGTGCACTACTAGATGTACTCTGAAGAGATAACCGCTGAAGAAATGCTTTTTACTTATGTAATTTTTTCCGCACTAAGCTACATCCTCAGAACTTAAAAAAAAATTGTTTTCAGACAGGGTCTCACTAAATCGCTACATTTCCCATGCTGGACTCAAACTTGTATACCCTTGCTTCAGCCTCCCAGAGTGCTGGGATTGCAGGTATGTGCCACCACATCTGACATACTTATGTAATTTTTTTAAAGAGGGCTAGTGCAGGGCTATAATCCCAGCACTCATGAGGCTGAGGCAGGAGGATCACCTCGAGTTCAAGGCCAGTCTGAACTACATAGTGAGACCCTGCCTTAAAAACAATACTAAAAAGAGGGCTAATAGAAAGTAAAATTATGCCAATCAAGCCGGGAGTGGTGGTGCACATCTTTTGCGCCCAGCCTGAGCAATTCGGCGACTTAGCAAGACCCTATCTCAAAAAATAAATAAATAAAAAGAGTTGAGGATATAGCTCCGTGGAAAGGAGCTGGAAAGGGGGTGGGGTAGTGATCAGCAAATGAAGCATAGAAAAAATTTAAAGTCTGAACAGGCACTAAAGAGGTGAGACGGATGTGCATTTTTGGGGTAGTAAAACAAAACACCAGTCTTTTCAGAGAGCAGATACTCCAATTTTATTATACATGCTGCCCAAGGGAGCACTGTGCATTTAAATTGCTCAAACTAACCCTTGACTCTATGCTATCAATGACTGATTGATTCTATGGTATCAATAATCGTCAGATTATAATTTGGCTTCCCACAAAGATCTCCCCTCAGAGAAAGAATTTGCTATTTTCACATCAAATCAATGTGAACAATTATGTATGTCTTTGTAAATTAATAAACTGGCATTCTAGTTTACATTACCAGTCTCATGTGAACATCCTTAGCATGAATCCACATTCCCAGCATCAGTCACCTCTAGAACATTTAGAATATTGAGTTTATGAACATGCAAAGCTGAAGTCCAGACCCCAAGCTGTCATGCATCTTGCCAAACATCCTTCCTCTCCTGGCAACTCTCAAATTTCTCTGGGATCCTGCCGTTTAACAAAAAATACATTACAACAGCAATAAACAGCTATTATTAAGTAGTTTGAGATGATTGAAAACAGATGGTTTTCATTAAATCTTATACAGACGTTCCTCAACCTACAATGGGTTATAACCCCATAAACCATCCATAAATTGAAAATATCATTAAATTGAAAGTGCATTCAATACACCTAACAAACATCATAGCTTAGCAACAGACAACATAGTAAAATGTCAGTTGTTTCCCTTCATTATCACATGGCTGAATGGAAGCTACAACTCACTGCTGCCACTGCCCAGCATAGTGAGTGAACACCACGCCAAATATCACTAGCCTGGAGGAAAAATCAAAATTTAAAGTACGATTTCTACTGAATGTATATTGTTACCACATTGTTGTAAAGTCAAAAAGTCCTAAAGTTGAACTGTCATAATTTGGGGACTGTATTTGGTAATACTATACATAATAAGTATATAGTCCACTAGCAAATAAAAGTTAACTTTATGGACCCAGAAATTAATAACACCTGGATGGATTTCCTAATTTCTTGAAATTTTAATTTGAGAAGCCTACTAATTTTAGATTTTCTCAAAAGTATTATGCTGAAAATGTGTGATGCTAAAAGCAATAGTTTTTAGTTCTGTAAAAATTATACATATCTAGGGATGTAGCTCACTGGTAGAGTATTTGCTTAGCATGTGCCAGGACCTGTGTTGGATTCCCCAGAATAAAGAGAAATTATACATACTCTAAATTATGAGAAATCCCATATGTGTCGGAATTCACACACACACACATATATATGTATATATTATTTTCATACACTGATAATTATGGAAACCAAACCTTAATTATGACAAAGGCCAAGATAGGTCATCAGTATTAATGAGATACTCAGATCTGCATGTGCAGCTTCATTCATAATCTTCACAGACACATAAACAAGACGCATTTTCACTGCAATGAATTTCTTGATATTGTGTTATGAGTGCTATCATTATAAAATTAATTCTGCTTATCTAAAGTTATGTTTGAGGGTTTGCTCCTGAGAAAGGATTTGCTTTCAAATAAATCATTACTACAGAAAATACTGTTATAAAAGAAATGCCTCAAAATAAACCGCTTCAAAAATTAAAAATAAACTTCATTTATTCGTGTAATAAATATTTATAAAGGACCCTTATGTTTTAGACATAAATGCTTTCTGTCCTATAATTTGTGCATTAATGTCCTAGGCAACCTATTTCACCAGGGTCCTGAATACACACATAACACAGGACACACAAACCCCATGTCCATCATACATTTTACTAAAATAAGTAACCTAGCTATAATAAACATTATAACAATTCTGTTTGTTTGCTTACGATTTTGAAAGTGTTTTATAGGCTTATTTGACAAAAGGCTCTAAAATATTGCCCAGGGAAGTTTACAAAAAAACGTGTTCTTTTCTTTTTCATAAACTTCTTCAACAGTAGGCATGGCACCCAATACCTTTAGAGTGTGCAGGAGAAAGGCTTTTCTAGGAGCTAGGCTACAGCTTTGAACACCAGAAAAGCCGCTTTCTCTCCAAGAAAAAATTGGGCCACTGCCAGACCCCTGCTGGGCCTCACATCTCTCAGGATCTACAGCCTGTGAAGTCTTCCAGTAGGCTCACATTTCTCACAAAATGCCTCTTCACCTTACACTTTAGAGGCAACTACAGCCTGGCTTTATATCCCCTTACCAGAACAGAACAAACCTAAGACTCACACCACTCCCTCCAGCACCAATCACTGTGCGGAGCAGGAGTCAGAAAATGCATTGTTCGTTCCAATTGCCTGGATCCTCCCATACCAAGCAATAGTATAAGAAACACCAACAAAACTGAGCTCCCACTTCCAGTTCTGAAACAGAGCTAAATTTGAAGACCTGGGAGCCCCCTAATTATCAGAAGACTTTCAACACTAACTACCTAAATTTGCAATGTGTCAAACACACTATGGGTCACTCACATCTCCGTTTTCCTCTCTTATTGCCATCTATGTAAGCACCCAGTTTGAATGATTTGCTATTTGACCACGGGCAAGTTACTTAAACTCTGGGTCAGACCATCTATAAAATTAAGGCTCTACTTCATGTGGTTGTTATGAGGACTTCACAAGATAATCCATACAACCACTATTACACTATTATTATGTTAAGATATTGTTGTTCTTCTCCCCCTTCATTCCTCCTCCTCCTCCTCCATCTTCTCCTCCTTCTCTAACCACATTCCCATATTACTCTGTGCTTCTTCTGCATGGACCTTCTCACTTCTACCTTCACTTCTAGGTAGGTACTTGGCTGTGCCTCCTGGGACGCCATCTCATGATTAATAAACTCTTTGACTACTCTCAAACTCATCCCTGGATATCCACTAACATTCTTTTTTTTTTCATTAGTATATGTTTGCAGTACATAATGATCACATTCATCATGGGGAATTTGTACTGATTTCCTCATGAGGATGCTGCTGCTCTTACAGCCCTCTATATGAAATGATTTATATCAACACACCACTTGTACTGCAGTGAGGAAGTGAGGTACACATCCTTTTCTAGTCATAATGCAATTTTGAGACCATTCCTCCTCCACTCTCATGTATACCCTCAATCATTCTTTCTCTGAGTTTCATGATATTTGATTACGTTTTGATTCCACCTCTTTGCTGTCTACTCAGTCATCAAAGACATTGGCATCTGGTTCACAGCTTTTCCTCTCTTGTCCCTAGGGTTATAAATCACTGTAAGAGAAAAGTCACTCAGCTGAACACAGTGATACCACTATGAATTCATGATTATTGACTTCAAGTGGATCTTTAATCCATTTGGGGATTCCTGTCATGTTTTTAACTCCCTCATTCATTTACCCCCAATGACACTGTCCAAGGTTCTCCATTCTCAAAATTCCAGCTCCTCAACAGCTCCTCAACAGCTCTAAATAACTTATACTCTAAAAATAAGATAGAAGTCTCCAGATGGGACACTACTTTCTTTTTTTTATCTTTTTCTTTTTTTATGAGCTGTAAGAGTTCTTTTATATTCTGGTCATAGGGTATATACATTATAAATATGGTCTGTTTAAGGACTACTTTTCATTTTCTTTTCTTTTCTTTTATTGGTACATGTTAGGTATACAATATAATGACATTCATCATTGCAAATTTGCACCT